CACACCCCTCAAGGGTGAGTGAGGAGAACTCCAAAGAGTCCACCTTTGCTACCCCTGCCTGAATCCTGATTCTGCCAATAAATGAATCCTGAATGATTCTACTTTTTTCCTATGGCTTTGGGAAGTTGGCAGGTATTCTCTCTCTGAAACAGGCATTTACTCAGCACATAGTGGATATCTATCTTTCTTTCTGGCAGAACCTGTAACATCTTCCTAGGCTTGAGGACTTGCATTCAAAATGGCAAGGTGAGCCAGTCCATGCTGGCATGGAGTTAGAGCTGGATGACCACTGGAAGAGTGGCTGTCCTTGGCTTGACTCTGCTCTCCAGCCCTTAAACCCCAGGAAAACCTGAGTCAGATGAGTTGCAGCAAGTCCCTGGGTGATGCAATCCCGAGCAGATTCTCTGTGGGTCTCATCTATCTCCACGTCCTGTATGCGGCACAGGGGGTGTTTGCTCTGGAAGGATCCAGGAATCCTGGCTGTTCTAGTTCTTCATTAAGGGGCCCTGCCTTCCCCATACCCAAATACTGCCCCATATTGCCCAGACCACAACTAGTGGTCAGCTGCCTTCTCTGCAGGTCCTGGAGAGTCAAATGGAGGTACCCCTGCTGCTGATCACTTAAGCCTCACGTTGGGATGAACCAGAGAGAAATCTGCACCCCAGAGATGTGTCCCCCAAGAATTCCCAGGCTTTAGGAGGTCATAGGCTACGCTGGTGGCTAGTATCAATAGAAAGCTGATTTTTCTTGTGAAATAATCTCTGTTCTACCTTCTTTTATTGCTAGAAGTATGATCAGCTTTCTGGAGGACTGTTGCAAACCCTAGATGATACCTAGTACCAAGCTGGGAAGATAGAAAGCACACGATTTTAAGATGTTTCATAAGCTCAGCCTTCAGCTATCAACATGCAGGTGCTGTAGTGCCCAGCCTCATTGCCAAGATATATTCCCCCAAGGTTAGAGTTGTCAGCTTCTTGTTCCATCCAGCCTCTCTGGTACTCATGCAGACGTACTAATGTCTGCTGGTTTGATGATCCTGGTAATGCCACATAATTAGAAGAAAAGCCTCTAAGTCAGAGGATTTAAGAAAGCTCAGATACTTACATCCAGTGCCCAAAATGTTCCCTAAAAATCAGTATCCTTGAGGGGAAACTTACCTGTCGAGAAAATACCTTGTTCCAAGAATCGATCGTTTTTGAAGAAGCTCCTTGTTTCTTAAAATTGAGAAGTGATGCCTGTCCTTAAAAACCCTACCTGGTCCTTTTTTTTTTTTGGGGGGGGGGAGGTCTTTTTGATTCCCTTTTCTTATGGGGTAGATGCAGGCAGACGTTGTTGTGTGCAAGTTTCTGGGTACAAGCTCTGACCCCTTCCAGTCGGAATGAGGCCGCGTTGAAAGGAGTTGGAGTGTACGAAAGGATGCACTGGTGTCCTGACAGCCTGTGGGTCCCTGTTCTGGACTGGTACTTGATTTCGCACTGTGCCCAGAAGAACCCAGGGGGAAACCGAGAACTACCTTACAGCCGCTGCCAGAGAAGGAGCTGGAATCTTGACTGTTTCTACCAGGCTCTATGAGGCTGCCTGAAGGGGGGGACAGTGGGTGTGGTCTGGAAGACTACACAATCCTCCTTTGCCTGTTGCCATTTAAGATGCATAAGAGAATTTGAAGGCAAGGTCTCTCCCTTCTGGTATTCTGCATTCTAGTGGGGGCGCAGGGGTGGGGGGAAAGAATGATTACCTAATAATGTGATGTGTACTTAAATTGATACACAATGTGTATCTGTTCATGGTTACTCAATTAATGCATCTTCATTAGAAAATACAGGAAAGTTCAAAATATGTAATGAAATTAATTGGATCTCTCAGTGATAACCTACCTGTCATCAGTAACCCACCGTCCTCTCGTGGGTGTATTTCAATCTAACCTTACTGATACATCATGTTAATTCTGTTGGGTAGACAGAAAAGTCATGATGCATTTTTGCATAGAAAAACAGAAAAAATATGTTATGACTTTTCTGATGATCCAATAGTTAGGAATCACTCTAGGCATTGCATTCCTAACTGCCTTTTTTTTATTTTAAAGAATTATTATTTATTTAGTTTTATTTATTATTATTTTTTAAATTTGCTATAGAGCATATGGATTCACCAGAGAGAGACAGAGAGAGAATGTGAGAAAGCAAACTGTTAGGTCCAGGACTGGAACCACGATCAGCCATGTGGGAGTCCAGAACTTTAACCACCGTGCCACCTGCTGTTCCCCTAATTACTTTTCATCAAACAGAGGCCAGGGCTTTTTTCTATGCCATTAAACATTCATCAGAAGTCCCCTTTTGGGTGGGTAGGGGGATAATATGTTGCTATTTGAATTTTTAATTGGTAGTGTATTACTTTATTTCAAAACTCAAACGGTACCAAAGGGTGTTCAGTGACTAGCCTCACACCCAGTGCTGCATACGAGGCCCCAACACACACTCCCACAGCACCCCCTGAATACCCCTTTTCTTCGTGTCTTGAATTTCACTTCCGTAGCTTCTTTATGCAAAAACAAATATATAGCCTCCATTTTTGCACCCAAGGTGGTGCATTAGGCTTATTCTTTGTATCCCGCTTTTCTTTCACTTAGTAATCTATCTTGGAGATCTTTTCATAACAGCGCACGGAAAGCTATGTTGTCCTTCAAAAGCATGTTTGAATTTTTTTAAGCAATTCAAAATATACTTTAAAAAAATCTTATAGAATGATGGCAAATGAAAATAAGCCTCTTTTCCCCCCAACCCCACTCCTAAACTGTTATCAATGATAGTCACTGTGACTATTTGTTACATATTATTCTAGAATTAGTTGGAGACTTATAGTCTTATGAATGTGCATACATGCACACATGTACACACACACACATGCACAGATACATAAAATACATTTAAATTTTTTAACCTGGGTATCCCATATGGACATGTCATAATTTCTTCAACTGTCCCTCTAGAGGTAAATCTATAGCTAACAATTTTCTCTTTTAACTTCTCTAAGCAACAGAAAGAAGAATGATCTTTGATATGAATCTTGGTCAGGATCTTTGATTGTTTTCTCCAGATGAAAATTCTCACAGTGGTTTCCTGGGTCAGACAGTTTTGGTGCATGTATGTGGTTTCCTGGTATATTAACCATCTCTTATCCCAGCCACCCAGAGGAAAGTGACTGTCATCATACCTGCAAGGTGACACTGCCCAGTTAGACATTAAGTCTTAGGAAATGGAGGTTTTTGCAGGTAGTCGTGTAAGTCCTTCCTGTTGGCTTTGAAGGAATCTCTCAGCAGCGTCTTGTTAGGACAGTCTGAGGTTTGACGGCAGTTCAATCACTTAGCTTCAGATACCTGCAGAGGGCCCAGTGTGGGTCATTCTCCCTCCAGGCTTCCATGGGGGCATGAGAGGCACCCTTAGGTCTGCAGGGTTAGTGTCAAGGTTAATGAAACACTGTGTTCAATTCTCAACAGCAGCTATGTTACTGTCAGTGTACACAGGCAGTCACTGAGCTCTTTTAGTGCTGGGCACAATTCTGTGTACCTTGCAGAGGTGAGCTCATCCTATCTCAGAGCAACCCGTGAGTATGACTACTATTATACACATCTGGAAGGTGAGAATAGCATGACACAGAGAGGTGTTTTATTTGTGGCCACTGAATCAGGAGGAGGTGGGGCTGGGATTTGATCCTGAGCTGCCTAGACCCAGAGCCTGGACTCTGTAACCACCACATTCTCCTGCCCCAAAGTCAGAACCCATTGCTTTTTTCAAGAGAGCCTTCTAGCGTTGTCTGATATTTTGGATAGACAGAACTTCTTCAGTTTCTACTTTCTTTTCACCCTTCAGCTGACTTTTCCTTTGTTTGCTGAGGATTTATAGTAGAAAAACCTTTGAGTTGAACAGAGTAGGGTTTGTATCCACTTCCTAAAATTGTGGTTTTAGGCAAATTACACAACCTCCCGAGCTGCAGTTTGCTCGCCTGTAAGCTGGAGGGAATTGTATCAATCCTGGGGCTGTCATGAAGATTGGTAAAGGCAGTGGACACTGTGAAAGCTCCAACAGGTAGAAAGTAGGGCATCAGTGCACTCTCTTTCTCTCACTACCCCATGCCCTACTCGCTTCCACTTTTTTTTTTTTTTATTAGTTTTGATTTACATTCTTATAGTTTTAGCCAGTTCAGTTTCAATCAGGTCAAGCAGGGAAGCTCACTCTCTAGGTATGAGAATAATTTCACCATAATGAAACACCTGCCATTGGTGGGCATTTTGTTATTTGCTTTACATGGTAACTGCAAATCCTGCATCAGCCCATGGCTCGATTTTCCTAGAGGCTGAGGCTGGAAGGGTGGGGACAGTCCCTTGGTTCCACAAGTGGGAGAATGCCTGCTGGCCCTCCATGGGCTGTGATCTGCAGTACGTGAGAGGAGGGCCATCACGCTGCACAGTTTAGATCCTTCCACCCACCCATGTTCTCATGTGGCCCCTGAGTCCAGAGGAAAGGCCTCATCCTACTGCCTCTGATCGCTCACCGAGGGGGAAAGGATGGAGCTGTTTGGGGTAGACGGAGGCCTCCTGTGTTTACGTACCAGGTATGCCTGTGTATGTGATGCCCAGCGTGGTGGAGTGACGGTGGACTTTTTTCATCGCACATCTGATAATCTTGCATCTCAGGTCCTAATTAGGCCTTTATGGCTTCAAAATTACATGCTTTTACATGCCCATCATTATCTCAATAGGATTAACAGTCCTTTTCCCGTAAGGATAATTGAGATCTCTCATGGTGGTATATTTTTATTACTGCAACATCATCTCCAACCATCCCTCTATGAAATCTCTTATTGTTTTGCAGTAACTGCTTTCCACTTCATTCTTAACAGGAAATGTTGGGAGTCCTTGAGAGGCAGGATTCTTCTGTGATTTCACAAACCATGGTAACCATTATGCGTTTTCTCTCTCTCTCTTTTCCTGCTTCTGTTGGTAGGTTCCTGGAGATTTGAGTCAAACATCCGAAGACCAGAGTTTGTCGGATTTTGAAATGTAAGTCCATGGCATATACTCACGAGGGGTCCTTTAGAAATGTGACTCTGCTATTGGCTTGTGCCCCAGAAGACCACGGGGGATGCAGAAATCAGTGTGGAAATCTGCACAAGGTTGATTTGGTTATCATAGAGGTGGGGAGTTGTTCTCCTGCAGCCCCAGCCTGGCCTTCAGACATGTTTTATCTTCCCCTTGGATGTTCAAAAACTTTTTTTTTTTTGGCTGATACTTGAAAGTTGGAAGATATTACATGAAAATGTAAATTTCTGGCCCAGCCATGATGGCACAGTGGTAGCCAGTACTCTGCAGTGGTGAGGCCAGGTCCCATGGTGGGTTGGGGTTTGGTTTGCTGGAGGACCTACACATGTGTGCCCGCCACCCTGGCTGGGCATGGGTGAGGGTGGGGATGGGTGAGGGTGGGGAGATCATGGCAGGAGTCTGTTGAGGGACACCCTCACTGACCTCTGCTTTCATCTCCAGTGCTTCTTTCTCCCCTCCCTGCACACCAGCCACCCAGCCAGTTCTACTCCTTTACCTCACTTGCACCTCTCCCCTCAGGATTTATTTATCTACCCTACATCTATAGTGCTTCCTCCGTGCTGGACACTGTTCTAACACACCAGTCCCCACAGCAGCCTTCTGAGACAGACACTGTCTCTCAGAAGGTGATTCGAACAAGATTCTAACCCAGGTTGTCTTGATCTAGACTGGTGCTCTTCACAAATGTTAGATGCCATGCCTGAAGCACCTTTCCTAGTC